GTGCTCAGGTTTTCTTTTAACTCGTATTAAGCTTTTGCCTTTTACTAAAGATTACCATGGAGAAGAACATTACAATGAGTCTATAGGCATCTGCCTGGTGAAAGTGGGTTTTCTCCTGGTACTCCAGTTTCCCCCGCACCTAAATTTGGGGCATAGAACTTATAGGTTCCCACCCACCCTGAGAGGGTCATTGATTAGTTGAGCTATCAATTAGTTAATAACTCAGTTAATCAATTAGCAATAAATTATTAGTTAATACAACATCAAGAAAATATTGCAAATTCCACACATATAAGAACGCCTACCCATGCCTGGTGTCTTCCTGTAACAGCAACATTCGAAAATTAATCATGAAAATGAAGAGGATGAAAATTCAATATTATACTTCTTCATTGTTGCCGGCCTCCTTAGCCTTCCTCTTTTTTTTTCTGAAATCACTAGAACTTACATTCCGCGAGCAGGATTGAACAGGAACAAAGTGTTCCTGAGTACCCCAGTTGGGGAGAGAAGTCTCTTGTCTTCTCTCTCTTCAAACTGAACCCCTGATCTATTGCTTAGAAGCCTCTAGCTTCTAAGCTCTACTTCAAGACTCTTAGCTCTTGTCTACAACTTTCTTCATTGCTTTCACTGACCTCCCCTGTTGTAAAATCAATAAACAAAAGTTCCACACTTAACCCTTTCAAGGTATCTGAAAGATAAAGCCTTAACAGGGGGCAAAGAGTAAATTAATATTTTCTGAACACCCCCAGGTTTATTCACAAAACCTAAGACATCTACCAGGTTTATCGGATCACGCACTGACCTGAAGACGAAAGGTGGAAGACTTTCAAAATGTTGTCCTCTACACTTGTGTTTCTACAATAGGCAGTTCCGTCCATTCTACAAAGTTTGATCATGAATACTCTGCCTAAACAATCTATCACAAAATAATAATAAATTCTGTTAGCTCTGTCGGTATATGGGCAGAAATGGATGAAAATAAAAATTTCCCAGCTCATAATGTCAGAAAAAAATCTTTCAGCCGGCCCTAATTTCAGAAGATTGGTTGGGTTACAGCAAACAGAAGTATTTTTAAGCCTGGCCTTGGATGCTGTTTTTAACTTGTTTTAAATTTTGTACATCTGATAAACTTGTCCTGGAAGATAATAAATTGGATCTTGTCTCTGATCTTGTTTTATAGGCCTAGCAAGGCCAGGTTGTTAGGGTGCTTGACTTGCAATCTAAGAGTTACGGGTTCGCTTCCCTGTCCCACCAAACATGCTCGCCCTCTTAGCCATGGGGGCATTATAATGTATGATCAATCCCACTATTCATTGGTAAAAGAGTAGCCCAAAAGTTGGCAGTGGGTGGTGATGATTAGCTTATTTCTTTCTGGTATTTCACTGATAAATTAGGGATGGCTAGTGCAGAGAGTCCTCGTGTAGCTTTGAGTAAAATTCAAAACAAACAAACTGACCTTGTTTTATACTTTTTGCATCTGATAAACTTGACCTGGACTGTACAATGGGTGCTGGGTCTGACCTTGTTTTATATTTTTCACATTTGATTAACTTGACCTGGAACTGTACAGTGCATGCTCTTTCTTACCTTGTTTTATATTTTTCACATTTGATAAATTTGGCCTGATACTTTATAGTGGGTACTGTTTCTGAACTTTTTTATATTTTTTGCATTTGACTAACCTGCTTTGAAAGAGGATGTTGGGTGTTGTTTTAGTTTACACATGTTGCTGTGTTATCATGAACAGTCACTACAGGAGTAGTACAACAGCATCTTTAGATTGCTAAATTTATTGACCTAATGTTTGCTATTGTTTTAGGAACATTATTGTAGTTAAGTGTTATTTTAGCATACTTACATTTCATATACATTACTTTAATATGTGTCACAAAAATAATAAATGTGTACATTCTGTTTAGGATTTGATTTTACAGATTGGTCTAAGATGATGTGATACAAAGGATCATGGCTACAGATCAGCAGCAAATCAGACCTACCACAATCAGCAACAGTCCATTCTCTCGTTCAAAGAGTCTGAGACTTCCATCAAGAAAGAACCAAACTGAAAACTCCAGCAATTCTCTCACTCGTCATGGTAGTATCCGATTGCCAAAGTCTGCTTCCCTGTCAAACACAGTTGCCACAAGTAATAATCAGGGAGCTACTGCTAATAATAAAAGGTTAAAACCTCTTTCTGTATTCCGTAAACCTGTTCCACCACCTAAACCAAAGTTGAACAGTGTTTCTGGAAACAGAAGTGTGTATGATGGAAATATGAGAAACAGAGCTTCCAAAATGGCCTCTACTCGAGCTGTCAGTGCCGAAGATATAAGGAAACAAGTAAACAAGGTACTTGTGAAAGATGTAGAGGAAAATCTAATGAACACATCAACATGTAGCTTGCCTGCTGGCCCTTCTGATAGCTGCTCAACTTCTTCTGCATCAAGAGACTCGCCTAACAGTGTTCAAAGTGAACAAATCAACTCTTCAAGACAAGTTTTGTCACCAGTTGCAAAAGACACAAAAGACTTGAAGCCACATTTGAGAAGGTTAACAGAAGAACATGAGAAGCTTCAGGTAAAATACTATATAAATGTTTTTACAAGTACTTTGGACCTATATTGTATCAATCACAGAGTAGTTAGTATTGATGAACTCTGTTTATCCAAAAGAGAGAAAAAATGGGCTATATAAATTAAGTAATGTATAACATTTCTGGGACTTAAGTAATGTATAACATTTCTGTGGTTTAAGATAAAATATTTAAGTGAGGTGTAACTTTTCTGGGTATAATACTTCTGTAACTTACGTAAGATACAATACTTCTGTAACTTATGTAAAATGTTATATTTCTCTAACTTAAATAAGGCATAATTTGTTCTGTAACTTACGTAAGATACAATACTTCTGTAACTTACGTAAAATGTTATATTTCTCTAACTTAAATAAGGCATAATTGCTAGATATTCAAATAAAAATAACACTTGGTAATGAATAAAATGTTTTGAATGATGTTAAAAATGATAAGATATGAAGTTGGGCATCAGAGCCAGCCAGCTATAGATACAGTACTTAGGAAGGTTTCAACTTGTGTACACTCTTGCATTATACATTAAAGTAATATGACCAGAAAGTAATAACTTATGGAGATTCTGAACATTAACTTTGGTTTTAGTGTTGGGATTATGAGATTTCACAGTTTAAATTTCAAAATCCATTTATTTTGTTGACTATGTAATTGTGTGTGTTCAGGCTTAGTCTAATTGTCTATGTTTTTGTGTTAATTTTATGGACAGGGTTTTTAAATTAGCTATAAATGTGTTAATGATGTTGTCATGATTTTGTATTTTGTAGTTGGCCATGATTATGTATTAACAATATTGTCATAATTTCTATAACAGACACTGTGCATTTACAGTATGGTTGATTGGTCAGGAGTGTTAATAGTATGGTCAGAGTTTTTATAACCCTATCGTATGGATTCCTGTACATGGCAAGGTGACCTCCCAAGGGAGGTTCTGTCTACACAGGTTACTTTCTTTGTGATACAAATATCCACTCACATATTTCATGTGTGTAGAGACTTGTAAAGATAAGGTGTGGTTGAATGGTGCCTGGATCATTGTAACACCAATTTGGCATTGAAATACTGTAGACTGGAGGGTCATTTAACTGGTCAGTTGTGGCTAGGATCAACCAATATAAAACCTAGTTATATTTAAGGCAATTCTGAGATGATGCAACATCAACACATCAATAATGCAGGATTTTACCTCTGCATGTCACAAATATGTGGAAATAAGCCATATTACACTTCAAAATTAGACAGTCTTTATTCATACTTGCTCTGAAGCTCAGAAACCAAATCACAGTAACAGTTCAGGAGCAATGCTTATTATCTGGTATAATGACCATGATATCTTGACATTGCTGCAGTGTTCTCAGTGAGTTAATGCAGGACTTCATGATGGGTGTTGTCAATGAGCATTGAATTTCTGCATAGATTAACTGTAAAGCAGTCATACATAGGTGATTCTGTCTTTATATCACCATCCTCTGTATCTAGATTTTTAATTCTTTGTTACAAATATCTCTTTAAAAGATATCACCTTTTTTAATACAAGGGGTCTGAGAGGGGCTTGCTAGTTATTCAAGTTCTATAAAGAAATGAAGATGTGGAGACCTCTTGGTCAAAACATCATGACAAATTCATATCATTTATGCAAGCCTACTTCATTGTAGGTCTACTTTTCTGTGTCAACATACCTTGTGATGTCATCAAATAATTGAAGTAAGAGACTACTGTCGCCTTTTTGCAAACTTTTTGGAGATTCTGATAGGTAAATAGCTCTGAATACATCTCAGAGCATCTCCAGCCTTAAAGCTGGTGATCTCTGGAACTCCTGCCTAATAGGAGCTGTGAAACTGTGCTCCACTTGATAACTTTACACAACTCAAGCCCTGGCTACACCATACAGTACTTCAGGAGTCTCATTCCTGCTGAATGTTAATGAAAACCTTCCATTATTGTCATGACAATCTTACTGTTGCAGAGGTCAATATCCTGTTAGTAGAGTTCTGCCAGATTTTATATAGGGATTTCTCTTGCAAGCTCAACAGCTTCCTCATTTAGCTTTACCTCTGCATGTCCTGGCACATACATTCAGGTGATGGTGTTACCATGCACTTGCTTTTCTTTCTGCCATCCTTCTGGAGACCAACCACTCCAATATTGCCTGTGAATCAGTCACAAATATTACATTGTTGGTATTATTTGTTGTTTATTGCTTTCAGCAATCCAGAGGATAGCTTGCTTTAGGCTTTCAGCTCTGTGCTATTACATCAGCTTTATGCTGCTTTCAGTAATCCAGAGGATAGCTTGCTTTAGGCTTCCTGCTCTGTGCTATTACATCAGCTTTATGCTGCTTTCAGTAATCCAGAGGATAGCTTGCTTTAGGCTTCCAGCTCTGTGCTATTACATCAGCTTTATGC